GGTAGTAAAACAAATTGGGAATGGCAGGTGAAAGTCACAATAATGAAGACTCCCTGAATGGTTAAAATGACAGCATTTTAAACATTGGAGAAGAACAAGCACTCAAATAATACTCAAAACACTTGCATCCTTCAAAGTTGGCAAAATCTAAATACAACAAAAGGGGGAAGAAGTGGAATATTCTGTAGCTATAAGCTACACGTTCAGCAAAACATACAAAACATCTGGAGACAAACTGTCTTCCAGCTTTTTAGTTCTTGTGAAAATCAGAATTTTGCTGAATTCAAGAGTGAATCAGAGATTCTAGGAGTCTTATTGTGCAAAAAGTTACTTTCACTGAAATCCATAAATGAAGAGCTCTCTTTCAAGGAATGGTAAAACAATCAAAAAATAGATACACTTGGCCCCTTAAAACAACACTAACACTTCTTAAATTAAGAATGTTAATTTAAACTACAAGTATACATGTGTAGTTTACACAAAAGGAAGTAAGCATGCTAGCGTACTTTCTCCATCACCAGGTCTAACTCGGTCTTTCTGCAGTAGCCCCCGGCAACATGGTGATAAACATCTTCATGTTAATTCCTAACATGAAGGACTCTTCTATTTCATTAAAAGGCAAATACTATGTATTTCCAAAAGGAAAATACTATGTACCATTTACTACATAAAAGGTTTTAGTTTTCCTCCACCTATAATCCATTCTACAATTAATAAAGCAATTTCTGAAGTCAAATGTGTTTACTCCAAGGGGCTTGGACATCAGCATTCCTATATTTGCATCAATAAAGTTAGAAAAGAAGAAAACTACTCCCTTTGCTGATACTTTTTATAGCTGCCCAAGTGCAATTCTGCATGCAGACAAGGAGTGCATCTGTATTTATGTCTATTTATATATAAAATATATTATATTTATTATATATAAATATATATTTATATACATAAATACATATAAGCATATGTGTGCCCCACATACGTCTATATGCATATACACACAGCCATATATGTATAGTATGTGTATACACACACAGAGATTTACATACAAATGTTAAAGTACTGAAGTTACAGCTTTTAGCTAGGGATTCTGAATCTCATGAAAAGAATACAGGATTTCTTTCTCCAGCCTCCTTCTTACCTTCTTGCACAAGCCTTGGCCACATAATCTGCTGTCAGCTTGTACTGCCAGAGCATGCCTATGTATTCCATTGCAGGCCACAGCTGAACCCGACTGCAGAGCTGGTTTAACAAGGCAGGGTCTAACTGGTTGGAGATGGTATCTTCAGTAAACCTTTCTTCTGAATGACTATATATGACTCCTTCTGCTCTCAGTTGTGAATGTACAGCTTTCAAAAAAATCTTTAGTTGACCTATTTGACAGAGCGTAAGAGGCACATAAATGCATGTACTATATTTCTTTCCAGTGAACATTTCACATCCTTTCCATTTGTACACAAAACAAATGGAGATGGCAGAAATCATCCTCTTAGGCTCTTCAAAAGTGTTACCTACCCAGACCAACATCTTCTGAATGATTGGCTCTAATTATCAAGCCATCAGCTTGCAGCAATGCTTTCTTCATCTTCCATCCAGTGGCAGCAATTTTCAGACAGCACATTTTTTCCTGCCATCTACTTTCTCCATAGGCCAATCTTAGCTCCAAGATGTTAAGTGGTTTGCTGAGAATTTTTAACTGAGAAAAACATTCCATGCCCAGTTTATCCTGGAAACACAAAAAGGACATTTGAACAAGTGGCAATTTGTTTCAGCAGTGCTAACAAAACAACAAACAAGATCTGTGACTGCAGTCAAAACCGAGATTTCAAATTCACATGCACACGACTGAAGTACAAGTATGTATAAACCAACCTGCAACAACTGAACCACAATTCTTTTGTAGCCCTACTCAATACAGCAGGAAGATAGAAATCTAAATAGTTGGCCACAATTCCTCCTTGTCAAGTTGTTTTTTTTCTTTTGCTTCCTGAAGAAACTACATAGATTATGCAGACAAACAGTATTGCAACATAGCAACTAACC